TGTTCATCAGACCCCAGAGTCAGGTGTCAGGAAGGGAGCCCCGGCCTTGTGGAGATGTCCAGTCAGTATAGACACACTGAACCTGCGAGGGGGCTGCCCGCGGCCTCCCACGTCACACTCGGCCTTCTGCCTCCTGCCCACCCTGGTCAGCTACTGTTTGTGTTCAGCCTGAGTGCCTCCAGCACGCTGGAAACAGGACAGCCCGTCATGACTCACTGATTTTCTCTCAATCCCTGTGACGAGCCAAATGAGCTGTTCGCCCCCACGTCCCTCCTGGTTTCCTGCGGGGTCGGTCTGGAATACTTCCCTGCACTCGGGATGCTGTCCTACTCCCTTGGGTGAAAGCCAGCTATCAGCTAAGGGACAATGAGAATATTAGTGATTTATTGCCTCTTCCTTTATCTTCCCTCTGCCCGCCCCAGTTGTCTTTCATTTTACGTCTGGGTAGGGGAGGGGAAAAGGGCTTACTTTACAGAATGTGTTTAACCTTTAGGCCCCCATAGAATTTTCTAGAAAGAAGATAGAGCCAAGTAGTTGGAGAATCAAGGTGGTGGGTGTGTGGCCTGCTCTGACGGAAAGGAGAGGGAGCGGTGCTGAGGGGCTGCCAAAAATACCTTGAGGGGGGTTGTCACCCCAGTGTCAGGTCTGGGCCGGGATGCCAGGGGTCCATTTGGTCCCTCAAAGGCAGAGGCGGCACAGGAGACATTTTAGTGGAAGCTGGGGGTGGGGGTCGTGCCCCTTCCCTGTAACCCCAGTACAGCGCTGGAGAGGTCATCTGCCTGAAGCAAAAGGCAGTGAAAGGAAATTTGAAAAAAAAAACAAACATATTTCCCCCACAAATTCTGAATGGCTTGAGTGTGCAGAGGGTAAGTGGGAGAGGCTCTAGTTTGAAGAAGCCTGAGGTGAGGAGGGACGCCAGGCTCTGCGGTGACGTGGGGACCCTTCGGCCTTGGGCCCCGGGGGGCTCTGTGCGGGGCAGGTGGGTGCAGGCCGGGACCCACAGAATTACAGCCCTCGAGGCCACAGCTGCCCTCCGTGGCGAAAGGAATGCCTCGGACCCTGTCGGAGGCATTTGTGTTTTCCTTTCGAGAATTACCATCACAGGCCCTCAGAACAGTTGCATTTGAAAGGCAGACACGCAATTCTGGGTGACCCAAGCGTCTGGGTCTTCACTGGAAACAAGACACTCTGATCGCTCACCCTGCTTCATCTGATTTTTATCAGGAATGTATACATACAGAAATTTCCCCCCGTGGGCTGAGAAACTCTGCTGAGAAATTTTAGCCCAGAGTGTAATTAGCCTGGGAGGATTATCAGCAACGGAAAATAAAACTTGGTACCATAAAACATCTCAATTATGGCGACGGAGTCAGTTATTCACTCCTACCGTATGAGTAGGAGTGGGTAATGAACATGACCAACACCATCCCCTCCCAGTGTTGCTCAATACCGGGCTGTGGAGACTGCCTAGCTCCGCCTTTATTTTTGCTGGCGTGTCCTAGCACTGAAAGCACATTAAAGTAATCAAACCCTGCAGCGAGGCATCCTCGGCGCTCCACCCCCTCCATGTGTTCCCCCGAACCCCTCATTTACAACAGACCGCGAGACGGGAAAGTGTTTTCAGAGCCATTTAAGATGAGGCAACACCGAGTATGTAAATCCTGCTTATTGGCGGCCAGGGTGGCTGGCTCATTCTCGAAAACGGACTCATTCTCGAAAAGGCCGGACAGCCTCCAGCCTGCTAGCCCCGCTGGGTTGCAATGGTCCTGTTTTGGGGCCACATGGGGGGGACGTGCAGAAGGCAGCTGTGACTTTCATCCCTGCCTTGGGAGCTCCTGGTGCCCTGGCCTGCAGGCCGCTGCGCCATCCTCCGGCCACCTGTTTCCGTCCCTGTTCCAGAAAGGAGCCTGTTGCCAAGTGTCTGTGTCCGCAGAGCTGGGTGGCAAAGGCAGGTTTTACTTTGAAAGGACGGATTGCTCCTAACCCCTTTATTCTTCCTGGAGAAGTAGTTTCTCCAGCATTCAGGAGGTGGCCTGAAGAACAATTTGGGGGTGGGGGGGACAGGCCCCTTCCCAGACCTGGAGTTCTTTGTCAAGATGAGCTTTCGTCGATGCCTGTCAATGCAGACACACACGGGCTCTGCGGGGATTTGGCCACATTCGGAATGAGTTATGACAGGATTCCCAAGGCTGCAGAGACAAGGGAGAAAGAGAAACACTTACCCCACTCTGCAGAAATTATCTTAGACTTGACTGTGCTTAGTGTAACCACTCTAAAAATAAGAGGTTTAGAAGCTGCCAGCAAGTCAGGACTGGCCAAAATATGTGGCTTTCTGTCCCTGTGCTTTCGGGGCCCCGCCCCCTCTTCTTGGCTTGATTCTGCCCCAACCTGCAGCAGTTAAGAAAGCACCGGGACTTAGGAGGGGTCCTTGCAGCCAGCCGCCTGAAGTTTTATGTAACTCAGCTCTGCTCTTCTTGCTCCAGAATGGAGTGAGGAGGAGCCCCGGTGGCCTTCAGAATGGCTGGGAGGGGGTGGACCCTGGGGCAGGGGATGGCCTCAGCCGGCCAAGCAGGGTGCTGTTTCAGGGCCCATCTGCAGGGGAGTTGTAATGCCCACTCAGTGTGGGGGGAGGGGGGGGTCCTGCCTGCCCACCTCCCCAACCCTCCAGCGCCGCCGGGAAGCTTCAGACTCCAGCTGGGGGAATCCTCAGCCCCTTCCCCCTGCTGGGTTGACAGGCCAGCACCTGCCTGGGGGGTGGGGTGGGGGTTGGAGAGTTGGAGGGGGTGGACGGGTGTGCAGCAAGGGCCTGGAGCTTCCAGGACTCTGAATCCAGTTCTCGAAGTGTGTTGGTGCCTCTTGATGTGCATTAAACCACCTTCATGGGTCTCTGGCCACCAGTGTGACATCACCTCGGAAGAGCTTGTTAAAGATTCATATTCCTGGGCCCCAGGCAAGACTTACTGAATCCAACTCTCTGCAGTGTTTTAATTCAGATTTTTACCTTTTTTCCCCTTAAGTCATGCAGTAACAGAACCCAAACCTAAGACTCTGCCGCTTGAATATACCTGTGTAGCCACCATGGAGATCAAGATCTAGAACATTTCTGCTACCAAGAAGCCTTCCTCCCATCCTTCCCGGATAATACTTGACTTTCCAGGGAACAACTGTTCTTCGGACTCCAGTCACCCAGAGAAGTTTGCCTGTGTCTGAACTCCTATGAGTTTGGTTTCTTTCTCTCAACAACTGTGTCTCTCGTGCCCCTCAGCGCTCCCTCCCATCGGGCGTGGAAGTGGCGTGCTGTAGGGTTTATGCTTAACTTTGGTAGATGACAGCCAAACACGTCTCCAGGGTATTTGTGTCATTTGCCCTCCGACTGCAGCGAAAGGCAGTGCGGTTGCTCTGCATTCTTGTCCACACTTGGTATCGTCAGAGCTTTTCGTTTTAGCCGTTTTGGGAGGTATGCTATGGGATCTCTTTGTGGCTTTAATTTGCACTGCCCTGCTGCCGAACGATGTTAGGAACATTTTCCTGTGCTTATTGGCCATTTGGATGTGTCTTTTGTGAAAAGGCCGATCAAATCTTTTAAAAACTGAGGCTCTCTTACCCTCTTAATTTCTAGGACATCTTATTATTAACAACCCCTCCAGGGGCACCTGGGTGGCTCAGTCGTTAAGCGTCTGCCTTCGGCTCAGGTCATGATCCCAGGGTCCTGGGATCGAGTCCTGCATCGGGCTCCTTGCTCTGCAGGAAGCCTGCTTCTCCCTCCCCCACTCCCCCTGCTTGTGTTCCTGCTCTCGCTCTTTCTCTCTGTCAAATAAATAAAATCTTTAAAAAGAAAAAAACAAGAAAAAACAACTCCTTCAGGTGACTTAAGGACACTATCTCTCTGAAGGTCCAGTTTTCTTGGGATCTTTTCTCGCCTTTCTTCAGTTCCCAAGCCAGCAGCTCGCTTCCTGCCTCATGTCCTCTGAGGCCGGTTATAGACACGGTGCTTTCCCCTCCGGCTTCTCCTAACTATGTGCGACTGGATTAATTGTGGCTGTTTCTGTCACTGAGGTCTGGCTGGGTGTGGTGCTTGCAGTCTGGAGATGTGAAGAGCATTTCCAAGCCACCTTCTTGCCTTTCCAGCAGCATCTTATTTGTGCCACAAGCTTGTCAGAGACATGAGGCTTGGGGGCAAGATGGCAGGAGAAAGAAACATTTGGGAGCTTCCTTTGTTGGCCTTGATTCTACTGCTCCATTTCCTAGGGGGTGTGTAGCCCCCCCTCTCCTCTCTTCCCCATCCATCACCTGCCTTTCCCCTCTGCCAGGAGCCCACGAGAAGGACGTGTGTTTAGTATGGGTGTGTCTGTGTTTGGGGGAGCTGTGTGTGGATGTGACCTGCTTTGGGTCACCAGGGAGGAGTCACCCCCCCCAACACCAACTGTGTAATAATCCCCCTTCTCGGTACAAATGCCCCCCAGCTCTCTGCCACCCCATGAATCAGATGAGGGGACATCCAAGTTTTATGGCGTCCAGGGATCTAGGATGCAGATAAGGCAACCTTCTCATTCTGCAGACAGGCACCGCAGAGACCATGAGGGCTGGTGTCTCAGGGGGAGAGTCTGCTGGGGTGTTTCTAAGCCTGCTCATCCTGGAAAGAGGTGTGTTGTTTCTGTAGAGGATCTCGAGACAGAGGGAGGGAAAGAGCATGTCTTGGGTAACAAAGGGAGTTCCCACTTGCCGATCTTTCCCTGTGCGGAAGCCGTGCAGAGGCCCAGCGTGGCAGGAAGTGGTGAGTGGTGGGAAGGAAGAAGGAAATGCTCGGTGCAGCCCGTCCCTGTGTTTCCCCCACCCTCACCCCAGTGGAGCTCAGCGGCTCAGTGAAATGGCCCCAGAAGGGTATTTACAGCGTCATGACGATTAACACAAATCTGTAACGGTTTTGTGCCGGCGTGGTGTGGAATCTGGCACTTACAATTGTGAGGCTGGCTCTGATAAGGATTCCTTTTTCCACTTAGGCTGGTTATGATGGTGAGAGTATTGGGAATTGCCCGTTTTCCCAGCGCCTCTTTATGATTCTCTGGCTAAAGGGCGTTATATTTAATGTGACAACAGTGGACCTGAAGAGGTAAGATGTACTATTGAAATAACTCTACTTGATTCCAGGCACACCCATTCATACCCACACCCAACTCACAGCCACACTCACACCCCACACTCATACCCCCCCACTCATGTAACACACCCACACGTTCAAAACTCAGGCACACTCACATGTGCACACACTCTCATGCACACACTCCTAGGACCCACGGGCGATATCATGGCACATCCATCCTCGGTCAGGACTCTGAACTGAAGCCCAAGTCTGGGCTCATCAGTAATGACGGGATCGGATCAGACATGATCAGGGAGGAGTTGGGGGCACCATAAGGAACCTGCTCCCCCCCACCCTGTTCCTGGTCAGCGGAGAACCTCTCAAAAGCCTGTGTGTGCAGATCTCCTGTGAGGACACTGGGGAGAGTTCACTTTCTCTCACCTCTGCATCCAGAGAAGAGCCACACTTTCGTTGTCAGTAGGACATTTTGTAAACCCACGATCACTTTTGACATTCTCAAGGGTTGCTCCTTGTAAACTGGGGAGGACCCGGCTAAGCTTTGGAAATGAGTCTACACCTTGCCAACTATTTACAAAAGCTGCTGTTCACTACCCCCCCCTCCCCCCAGGAAACCCGCAGACCTGCAAAATCTGGCTCCTGGAACAAACCCTCCCTTTATGACTTTTGATGGTGAAGTCAAGACGGATGTGAATAAGATCGAGGAGTTCTTGGAGGAGAAACTGGCTCCCCCGAGGTAGGCCTTATAAAACCAGCACTCACAACCTGATTGTCACTTTTCCCCCTTCACAGACAATTTGAAAGCTCCTGGCTTCGTGTATTTGGTTTTCCGTGGCCACGGCACTTAACTTCCTTTGGTGTACTGCGGTGTGCCACAGAAAACACAGAGCAAGATCAGAAGCCTTGAGTGATGATAGGCCTGGGTCTCTCTGCTTTGCACCTGCAGGTTGGCAATTACGGTTTGATGGCAGGAAGTGGGGAGGAGGTGGGTCGATGTCTAATGGGTCGGCCATTTCTTAGGTCCACTGCTGAAAGGTAAGGTGTGCATGTTACCATGGGATGTTGCAGAGTGCCGGACCTGGAAGAGAACCTTCTAGTGCACCACCTTCGTCTTACTTGAAACTAAGACCAGCCGGGTCCAAGGTGTGCCAGGATGAGAACAGCAAGTGCTTTCTCCCTAGACTGTTGCTTCCAAAGCTTGGAGATAAAAAGATTAGGAAAACATTCAAGGGGGAAGTTTTTTTCTTTTATATCCTCTCAGAGAAAGGCCTGTCTCCCCCCCGCCCACCTCGCCCCACTTGTATGAGCCCAACTCAAACATTGCTTATCTGTGATACTCCAATCCTAAATTTTTCAAGGTACCCTAAGCTGGGGACCCAACACCCTGACTCTAACTTTGCCGGAAATGATGTGTTTGCCAAATTCTCCGCATTTATAAAAAACACCAAGAAGGATGCAAACGAGAGTGAGTACCTGCCATCTTCCTGTTCAGTGTTCTCCACTTGGACTGCCCCTTGCTCAGCCTCTGGTGTGGCTTCTAAGATCCTGGGAGTTCTGACTGATGTCCCTGGGAGAAGGGACCTGTATCTAGAAATAAGGAAAAAGTACCTCTAGTGTTGAATCTGCATGTGGGTTTCAGGAGATCGAGATTGGGAGCCCAGAAAAGAACATTTTGAGGGGAAAAGAATCCCCACCAGGAATCGCCTGCTGCACCATGGGAATCAGTTTCAATGACGCTCTTGCCAGTGCTTACTTCCTTATGGGCTTCCCATAAATATTTTTGAATACGTGGATGAGTTCAAGAAGGAGCAGTGTTGTGTAGACAGCAGAATTATTTTCCAGGGAGGAGTGAGTCCTTTATGCAGATCTTAGAAATCCACATCCTTCCCTCCAGTTCCCCGGTGCTGCCCAGCCATGTGCCATGAGGGAAAGGTGATTGACTCCTTCCTTGATATCTAGAGAAAGGTGACATTAACTCGTATGGCTTATCTTAGTCATTTTCTGCCTTTGTGTTCTAGTTTATGAAAAGAACCTGTTGAAGGCCCTGAAGAAGCTGGATAATTACTTAAATAGCCCTTTGCCTGATGAAATCGATGCTTACAGCACTGAGGACGTCGCTGTTTCTGGAAGGAAGTTCCTGGATGGGGATGAGCTCACGTTAGCCGACTGTAACCTCTTACCCAAGCTTCACATTATAAAGGTTTGATGTTCCTCCTGCTGCAGGTGCTGAATACACGAATGGGCCTTTGTCTTATTTTGGCCAGACATCAAAACAATCTAAAATGCAGACTCCTGAATTAAAAAGTCAGTTTCTTTTTTTTTTCCTCTTTGAGGCAGTCGAATCCCCAGTCTCAGATACATGGATATTCCCAGGTATTCTTCAGGTGGTCTCAAGAAACATTTGGGAGCTTGGCTCTCACCCCTCCATCCTCACTGCTTCTTGTTCCAAGTCTTACCCCCACAGCCTAAAGAAAAGTTATGGCAAGACAACTCGAGGGCGACAGTGACTATACCCGGCATTTAATGCTTGAGGCTTGGAGACGATGCGCCGACTCTGGGAGTATGGCAGTGTGAATTCAGTCAGTTGTTGGTGATTGGCGGGGGAAATGGCTCTGCATAGGGATGACAGAGGTGTGTCTCCTCAGCTCTTAGTACTGACCCCCTATAGCTAGGGAGGAGCTCCTTGGCTGGGCCTCTGCCAGGTTTGGCATCATGTCTTCCCAGATAGTTGAATGGGAAGTCAGCATCATGCGTCATATATTTTAGGGTTTAAAGGCTCTCTAGACCACTGGTTCTCCAGCATTAGTAGGCATAAGAATTATTTGGGGAGCTTTTTAGAATTGTAAATCCCCCATCCAGCCTCTGGTCTCCTAAATCAGAACTTCCGGGGGTCACCCTGGGGGATTCCAAAGTAGATGGCCCTACACTTGGCCTCCGGAGTTATGGCTTGCTCTCAATGGTGCCCCCAGCCTTCACGTCACTTATAGGTGTTAATTGTTATCATTATTACAATTGCAATGTTCTTGGCCCTCAGTAGCCTTGAAGGCCCCAAGAAGAAGGCCAAGCCTTGTTCTGGGGCACTTTTATGATTAAAATTCCACCAAGTCCAAACCTAGGTCCTTGGTAGAAGGATAGGGGAGATGGGCAAGAAGGCACAGGGAAGTCCAAATCAAGGACCCCGTGGTCTAATAAAGCATGTCATTGGCATTTAGAAATTTACAAATTAGACTCACCTAATCTGTGTTGCTGATACTCCTACAGGCTACCAGCTACCCCTGGTTGCTCCTCATCATTGCCTTGCCTTTCGTTTCTGCATTTCATCTTCCTTCCCGATTCCTTTCCCAATCCTTGCCCCATTTCTCCTCTTCTCTCTTCCCCAGTGTGCTTGAAGGATACTAACTTGAAATCCAAACCTTGAAGATGTATCTGAGCCCTCAAGTGAATGTTGTTTTCAATAACTTTGCCAGTTTCCCAACATCTAAAATGTAATGAAAGCATTTCAACTCATCAAAACCTCCTATGTTTGGGAGCCATTTTTCAACAAGATATTTACGTAGCTGTGGGTGGTTTAGTCCCTTCAGTGGATGTGTTGTAGTCATTGCCATGACCATTATATGGTCATGGAGGTTGGGGAAGGGGTACATGGAGGTTGGGGAAGAGCAAGAGAAATGCCCCAGCCATACACCATCGATTGCCACTTGTTTAGCTCCTATAAGAAAAGAGTTTTTTAAATTTCAGTAGATGGGGTAAACTTCAGAGTAAAATAACGCAGTCCCTGGCTCCAATATAAGACCGGAGAGCAAATTCTTCAAAGCCATTGAGCACTCAAAATGCCAAACAACTTAATAATCTTTCAGAATGGAGCACCTTCGGCAGGGAAATGAGACTCGGTCTAAAGGAATTTATGATAAAAGATGAGAGAGTAAAGGAATTTATAAACCCACCATATGAATGATATAATAATTTGAATGATATATAATTTATGATATTTATGATATGAATTTATGATAAAAGATAAAAGATGAGAGAGTAAAGGAATTTATAAACCCACCGAAAACAATATGAAAAAATAGAGTAAAGCTTCATCTCTCATAAAACCAGAAAAGGACAGAATACCAATTCGAAGACTAAGAAACTTTGTCTGGTGTGTGGTGTCACAGAGCCAACGCATGCTTCCCTGTATGTTCAGCAAAGTTCAGATTTCTATAAAAGTAGATAGTACAGTCCTGAAATGCCCAACACCAAACTTCTTTGAGGACTGGGGCCATGAGAGGAGAATCAGGGAACAGCCCCACACAGATCACTTCTGGGCTGAGATCTCTGGGGAGGGAGAGTTGAAGGAGGAACCATACAGAGGCGCCATCTTTGTATTCTGGCACCTGTCCCTTAATCTGAAGGAACAGGGAGGGGAAGTGGAGGGAAGTGATGTGGCATTCTGCTTTGTGGCTGCTGAGTAGAGAAAAGAAGCAGTCCTTGAACCAGTTAAGAGAGAGACTGTAAATTGCTTGGGCTTCATTTTTAGCCATGGTGACCTCTTGCCTAATCTGTGAGCCTCAGAGTGGAGGATGCTCTAACCTTAACCTTGACTTTTTGCAAACAAAAGGAAAGCAGAATTCTTAACATTAATAGCAGTAAGGTTGAATTAAGGTAAAAGAGGTCAAACAATTTAGGAGGGTTTCTGACAGTGGTATTGTCTTGTTTTGCTGCATCAGTGGCTTCTGGCCTGCAAGATCTGAGTGATAGGTCCCAAAGATCTTCTAAATTGTGTTGTCCCATGTTCACTTCATCCAGACAACCCAGAAACCAATGCAATAGGAGGCAACAAAGCAGAACTGACCTTTGTAGTCCTGGGTCCCTGTTAGGGGATGAATTGCATCCCCCCAAATTCGTATGTTGAAGTCCAAATCCCCAGTACCTCAGAACATGACCTTATTTGGAAATAGGATCTTTGCAAATGTAATTAGTTAAGATGGGTTGTATTGGCGTAGGGTGGGCCCCCACTCCAATAGGACTGGTGTCCTTATAAAAAAAGGAAATTTGGACACAGACACACACATAGGGAGAATGCCATGTGAGGATTGCTGTTATGCTGCTGCAAGTCAAGAAACTCCCAGAAACTGGGGAGAGAACAGATCTTTCCCTAGAGCTCCCAGAGGGAATGTGTCCTGCTGACACCTTGATCTTGGAATTCTAGCTTCCAGGACTGCGAGAAAATAAATTTCTGTTCTAAGCCACCCAGGTTATAGTACTTTGTTACAGCAGCCCCAGGAACCTGATAAAGTGCCCAGCAGAATATATTGTCCTTTCTGACAAATTCCTCACCGACGCCCCTCCAGCCAAAGGAAACATCTCACACTGTTGTGTTTCCCATGAAGTTCACTCTCAATTGCCCTGTCCTCACATCCACCATTTCCATGAGGATAAGGATTTGTGTTCCTTTGTTGACAATGAGGTGAGCTCTTCAGTGACAGAATGATGGAAATCTGTAGGAATAATATACACAGATATCTGGGATTTTAGGAGGTGAAGCTCAGCAAGTAGGAAAAAGAGAGCACTTCACAGTGAATCAGGCACAGTCTAAACTAAAGATCCTCATGAATCTTTAGGCACCAAATAACACAGCAGCAGAACACACAAAGCCCGAACTGCTGGCAAGACAAGGAGAAGTCCACCAAAGTAGAGACCAAATTCATGCCAGTGGATCCCAAGATCTATCTAGGATAAATTGGTGGGCAGGATTGTGTGGAGCCACTCTTGAGCCCAGTACTTTCATGAACTTTCCTGTTGCAAAGTTGAAGTGAAATCTGGGGTCGCCTGGCTGGCTGTAAGAAGAATACTTCAGGACTTGAGAAAGAGAATATATTACACACCTTAAAAGAGTGGATTGTCTGATCTAATTGTCTACATTAGTGGGCTTTTCCTTTGCTGATTATTTCCTCTTGATTTTCAGATCGTGGCCAAGAGATACAGAGATTTTGAATTTCCTTCTGAAATGACTGGCATCTGGAGATACTTGAACAATGCTTATGCTAGGGATGAGTTCACGAATACATGTCCAGCTGACCAGGAGATTGAACATGCATATTCAGATGTTGCAAAAAGAATGAAGTGAAGCCAGAGTGTTTTCAGTCTTATTTCTTGGCTGTATGAACTAGGCTATGATGAGAGTGTGTTCTTTGTGAGTGTGTACTTTGTATTCCTTCCAAAAACCATAATGCCCATATTTTAATAATACTGTATCATAGTGAGAGCCACTCAACACCAAATGGTACATGGCCTTGTGATTTGTCAACTCACTTGTGTGACTGAATAATACCGATATCTATTGTGACACCCACCACTTGTCCAATTGACTTCTTAATTTACTTCTTCGGCATTCGCGGACCCTGTAAACCATGATATTAGGACATGTGCTTTGCAGTTTAAGGTTCAAGACAAATTAGATTTGAGTTCAATTCCTCCTTCAATTAAAAAAAATTCATCTGTCTCTGATAGTTTTCATAATCATCATATACAGCTTATTTTTCTCCTCTAAAATAGTTTTTTTTTACAGAACTAAAATACTGTTTTTACAGTCACAAGATGATTACATGCCTATTTTAATATTTTAAAACAATGTGAGAGAATATAAGGAAGAAAAAAAAACCACTACCTAAAATTTCACTCCACCTAGATAATTGCCGGTAACTTATTGGTGAACATCTTCTCCTTCCTTAGTCTCTCACAGACGTTCACACTGCACACAACTCCATTCCTATGAAATCAGTGAGGGGGCCTGTGGGTGAAGCCCTGATGATCATCCATAGAGGATCCAAAAAGATCCGGCACTGCAGAGCTAGAGGCTGCTTGAGATCAGGTTTCACAGGTGGAGAACTGGAGTCCACAGATCCGCAGGGACCTGCAGGGACCACAGGGGCTGGGAGCTATGGGAGGTCCCCTCTCTGCCTCGTTACCACCTTGGTGATGGCAGCTGTCTCTGGATCCCAGGGCAGGCAGCGGAGGAGAGTGCACATGGCCTTTTGTTCCAGCTTCCTTTTGGATGCCTTCTCTCACTCCCTCCCCTCTCATGAGACCATGCCTTCCTGTGGATGCTCAACGTCAGCTGCATGTTGGAGGATCCTCCTGTCTTGTGGTGAAATGTGAACCAAGCACACTTTGATTCCTTCTAAGGGCTGCCCTCTCTAAGACCCAGCACTGTGCTTCTTCAACGATGATGGGGTGTGGGACTAGCCTGGTTCTTGTTGCTTCTCTGGTCAGGCAGGGAAATTCCAGGGGGATTGAATTCATGGTGACTACTCTTGGGTAGTTCTGGTAACCAGTCAAGTTGGGGAGGAAGTGGAAACTCAGGCTCGAGAGTTTTCTGGTTTGTCTGTGGCTTCCCTGCCACCTCGCCCTACAGCCAGCCTCTCGTCTGTAGTGCGTCTGGGCTGGGCAGCCGGGCTCCAGCTGAAGGCACAGGAGACGGTGTAGAAGGCTGTGTAGATACGCATCACGACCCTTCTGGGTTTGAGCATTCTCGAGCATTCTCGGGGCTGCGTTCCTTTGACGTTTACATACATCTTATAGAAACCCTCTTGTCCATTTGGTGGTAGCCTGTGGTTGATGCTAAATGCTCATTTAAAAAAAAATATGCATTTGCTCCATGGGCATTTATTTGGAAAAGAATTTATTGCATTTTTTGGAAAAGAATAAGATGTGGGGCGCCTGGGTGGCTCAATCGGTTGAACATCTGACTCTTGGTTTCCGCTCCAGTCCTGATCTCAAGGTCGTGAGATGGAGCCCCGCATCAGGCTCTGCGCTCAGCAAGGAGTCTGCTTGAGATTCTCTCTCCTTCTCCCTCTGCCCCTCATGCTTGTGCTCTCTCTCTGTGTCTAAAATAAATAAGTAAATCTTAAAAAAATGAAATAAAAAGCATTAACAGCAACTCTTCTGGGATTTAGTGAGAAATGTCCAGTAAGAGAAACAAAGTCCACTATATAGTGGCTACTTTGTATTCCCTCTTACTGGAGGCTCCAGTTTCATGCAGGGGCTGCCCACCCAGCAGTCTGCTCTCTTTGTTAACTCTTTACATTTTTGGAGGTTATGTCTAGCATTCCCCATCATGCATGTTTCACATCTGTTTTGGAGTCAGATTTTCAAGTCTCTTGTTATAATGGTACATCTACACGTGGTCAATGAATAGACTACCACTTGTTACTAGTGCGAACTTTGTATTTTTAGATGTTGACATGATCTACATAAACTCTGTGTGCCATAAAAATTAAACGCATAAAGATGTTTACACGAAACCAAGATCTTTAATTTTTTTCCACATTCCCTTCCTCACTTAGATTTAAAGGAATAAAATGAACAGAAATGGCTTCCTTTAAAACAACAAGAGCAATGTCGAAGCAGGGATTATTGGTAATTGAGTTAGAAATAACCCGTATTTGAATTGTGAGCCACAGAGACATTTTAATGGAGACTTAAAAGAGGTCAGAAAAGACCTGTCCTTGTGTGAACTGTCCTTGTCCAGGTGGCTACAGTAGAGGTCATCAGACTGTTTTTTTCAGTTTTCAGTGTGGTTGTAGGCAAGTGGGTGGTCCCTGGCCAGCCTCACCCTGGGGTCCCACCCTTACATCCTGTTCATGGGCCCCTAAAAGGCTATTCCTTTGGCGAAGGCAAGAAATATTCCAGGGCTGTTCACTGGCTTGAAGTCTTTATTACAGCACAGGTCTTGAAACAAAATGTGTTTGTTCTTCAAAACATACTGTATAGGATGCAAATACGGACACTCAGTGAATGAATCCCCACTTTGAGGCTGGCTGAGTTTTCTCCAGGTGGAGAGGATCCCATTCTCACTTCTGGTTGCCCAAAAGGCCCTAAAATTAGAAAAAAAAAAATCAGCTTTTCTTCTGAACACAGAAGGCTGTGTTCCAACCTGTAGGCTGGAATGGATACAGGAGTGTCGCAAAATTATACTTTCTGGGTACTGCCCAGGGATTGGGGAAGGAATGAGGACATTCAGTCCAGGAAAGGGATTCTAGAGACCAGAGGTCTCAAGAGGTAATTTTTGATCTACAAAGTCCATCTCCAGGCATTGAATGTATGCCCAAGCCCTCTAGACAGACACACACACACACTCACGGACGTACACACAGAGACTCACACAATCACACACACACAGAAACATGTTCACATATAACGCTGTTCCAAGCACAAACACACAGACACACATATAACGCAATATGCTCACACATAGGCACACACTCACATACATACACACACTGTGGGTGAGGTCAACATTGTTCCCTTTCATGTGTCCTTCGGTCAGTGACCATAACATCTCTTATTACCCATGCCTCACTCCCCACTCCAGTGGTTCATAATTAGGCTTTCGAAGAGTTTTAAAAGAATATCTTTTTTTTTAAGTAAGAAAAATCCACCATTTATTTTACAGTTAAGAAAACCCAGGCGTGCATCATCCCGAGAATATATAATTCACAGAACACTGGATACATACAATGGATACATTGGGATACATTTGTTTGCATTCCAAAATAATTTCTCTTTCCACACAGAGCTTTAATTCTGAGTTTTTCGATATGGTCGGTTTCCCTCCAGACATTTACATTTTGGTCTAATGTGTTACCACATTTCAGGGCACGGCCACTTGGTAAGAGCAGATGCACGCGTGTGGCCCCTGCTCCCAGAGGGACTGTCGATCACTGCGACTCGAGGTGGCGTTTGCAGGTCAGGGGGACCCTGCTGCTGCCTGCCTGTGTGCTCAGGGACCCGGTGGGGCAGCTGTTTGCTGCTGTAGCCTGTGCCCTGACAATGTCATTTTCCCCATCACGGAGGGTTTGTGCCGAGTCTCTGATGACCTTTGCCCTGGAGAAGGCCGTTGAGTCAGGGAGCGACCCCAGAGCTGCGGTTTTGGGGTCCCTGTCACCGTCCAGGGGAAATTGTGTTCAAGAGCGGGGAGTTGCAGATTTGGGGGTGAAAGGCATCTATTTAGGAAGTCAGGCCTGGCAATGGGCCACCCGTGGCCCAGTGATTGGGGATGGGGATCTTATTCCACCTGCTGTTCATTTCTTCCCTTTCAGGGACACTGTCCACATTGTCCTGTCTCAGTGCCTCTCCTGCGGCGCCTGAGCATTTAGGGGTCCTAACAACCCTCTGGAAGAGAGGCCAGTTTCTGGATGACACTCCACTCCCATCTCTTTCTCCCCCCACTTCTGTAATGGGTTCCCTGCTGTCCTCCTGGGGGGGTGGACAAGGACAGTGGCCATCAGTGACTGGCCTGGCGTTACCCACGAGTCCGCTGACCTGCTGCTGGACTCCCTCCCCTGCAAAGCTGCCTTTCCAGGGCCTAATGCTTGGGAACCTGAGTCAGGCCCCTTTCTGAGCCCCAGCCTTCGGCTACCAAATACCTCACCAACACCACAGGGAGTCCTGGGAAGCCGGTAAAGCGTACACATCCCTTCAGGGTCCAGGATAATCGTACCCGTAAGAGGGTAATGGCCATTGCTCAGAACATTCCTTGGTTTTGTAAAAGGGAGTTCAAATAGCATTAGGGTTTTTGTTTGCTTGCCTGCTTTTCCCTTATCTGGCATTAAGTGCTAACAAGTTAAACCTGTTACTAGCCTCTTCCCTATGAGGACCTTTGAAACAGCGGGGATGTGAAAACAAACTGGGGGTTCTAGAGGGGAGGGGCGTGGGAGGATGGGTTAGCCTGGTGATGGGTATTAAAGAGGGCACATACTGCATGGAGCACTGGGTGTTATACGCAAATAATGAATCATGGAACAGTACATC